ATTTCATCCTTCAGCTTTCAGTTTTTTATTTGTTTCTAAGTGTTACAATAATTACTTCCGTCCTTATCATATTAATACATAATACTGTTTTAGAGAAATATATTTATTAAATATAACTACGATTTAAAATGATGGGCATGGGTCCCAACAGACATTGTATGACTCAACCTGAGACACCCATGAAGAAGGTAAACCATGGAGTGGTTTACAGCATTTGTGGTTTGGACTCCTTAACTTAGTCACAATGAAAGCCATAGAAATTATAAGGCAGAATCAGAGGGCTTGCCACACTGCTATGGGACCTCAAATGTGCTGAGCTAACCATCCTTTATGCAAATCATCAGGTGAGTGTACTCCACTAAGTCAAGGTCACCTGCTCATCAAGATCTGCCTTCATGCTATTCACTACATTCAAAGAAGGAGTTTCCTAATATTGAAAGATCCAGGTATACAAAAAGTCTAAAGAAAAATATACATAGTCTCACAGCACCATATTTATTTTATATATGTGCATGCATCATCTGCACTAGTGGAAGTTCTTTCCTATCACCAAAATTCTTCACTGTGAAGCTGAGATTTTTTGAAATTTTGCTTTATTTGAGAGTCTTCTATTGTGTATTTTTACTATTCTTCTACAGTATTAGTTTGCCTCCGGATAATGCAAACAGAGTCTGAGCATAAAAAACAATGGTTTTTTAAATGCATTGGAAAATGCTAGAAAGCGACTTTGTTTGCTCTGCCTGCTAAACTTTCTTAGTAAAGTTAACAAAAGCTTTCGAAGGTAGATCCTTACAGTAGCAAATGTCAGTGCAGACCTGTTAAACACAGTGAATGAAATAGCCTGCTATAGCAAGCATTCCACCTAAATTGACTAGGTGGGGTTTTTATTCATTGTTCAGGTACACTGAACAGAATCTGTTCTCTCGCTCTCATTCTTTGTAGGTTGACACTCCCTTTATCTAGGGGTTTATAATAAGCAAGCTATATTCAGTTTTCCAAAGGCAGATGCGCTCTCCTGGTATCCTAGAAACAAATCTAAGTACGCTTTGTGGAAAGACCTGAGGTTCAAGCTAGTGATACAAATTAGTATTAATGTGCTATTAAACAAGCACAGATCTGGAAAATTTTAAACAAAATTTGTTCTAAGGACAAGTATTAAATTATTAGCAAGGTGGTGATTAAGAGATAAAGAGAGCAGTTCATAAGAAAAGTAGGTAATGCAGAAATTAAACAAAATTATACTTTACCTCTATACTATTGAGACTGGGATTCATAGTAGAGATTTCTTCCAAATGAGATTGGTAAATTTCACTTAAAATTGCACACATTATCTCAATTACAACAGATCTACAAAAGCAAATTCCTAAACTATAGAGGAGGAGCATATCAACCATCGAAGGATTAATTTTTATGAATATAATAGCTGCAGAAATTAATCTATATTAACTTATATCACAACAGCTATCATTAAATAATATGAGGTAGAAAAAAATTTCTAAGTGTTCCCTGGGGTCCACTATGTAATACTTATATAATGTAACATGCCATAAAATAAATTGTACTCTGGTGAGACATGTCAGTTAGCTTCTGAAGCCCGAGATCTGAAATTATCCCCACTGAAAAAAAAGGGTATACAGCTTATTATCACACACATGGAGAATCAAATTAGAAAGCACAACAAAAGAACTTTCAAAATTCAATGAATATCTTTCCTTTAAAAAGTCACTCCCGATTTGCCCAGTAGGAGTCTCTTTAACCATTAATACATTACAGTTGGAACAGAGAGGGTCTCATAGGCTGAATAGAACTCCTGGACTCCAGTTGCAAAGAGGGAGGAGTGATGAACAAAGGGGTCAAGAACAAGTTGGAGAAACACACAGAAAGAGCTGACCTGAACAGGGGGAGCTCATGGAAGCCAGACCGGTAGCTGGGAAACCAGATTTATCCCTAGTATACAAATGGACTTTGGGAGCCCACTCCACATAGAAGGATGCTCTCTCAGCCTAAAGAAATGGGGGAGGGCCTAGGCCTTGCTCTAAATGACATGAAAGACTTTGAAGATCCCTCGTGGAATTGTCTCACCTTCCCTGGGGAGCAGAAAGGAGGATGGGATAGGGGGTTGGTGGGGGGCAGGTGAGGAGGGGAGAGCTAGGGAACTGGGATTGATAATCTAAAATAAGATTGTTTCTAATCTAAATTTAAAAAAAGAAAGAATATATTTGTCTTTTCCCCCATTTGGTTTTTGAAACAGGGCTTCTCTGTGTAGTCCTAGCTTTCCTGGAACTCACGTTGTAGACCAGGCTGGCCTCAAATTCAGAGATCCGCCTGTCTCTGCCTCCCAAGTGCTGGGATTAAAGGCGTGCGCCACCACCACCTGGATTTCTTTCTTCCTTTCTCACTCTTTCTTTACCCTATGCCAGGCTCTCTGATCCCATGAAATAGGGTATTTGGTGCTTTAAAGCTGTACCTTGACCTTTGAAAAATCTGCTCTGGGCACTACAGGATATGTTGGGCACAAGTGTTAGCAAAATCTTGCTCCATTTCTTGCTCATTCCCTTAAGAGGCTGAGAATAGTAATGAAAAATTAAATATTTCTTTGTCATAGTCAAACTTTGACTAACATCTCCACCCCCACCTAAAGCCTCTATCAAGAATCTATTCTCTGCTCCTATGAGTTCAGTACTTTTAAGGTTCTACATATAAGTGAAACCATGCAGTATTTACTATTCTCTATCTGATCTGTCCTACATGGCATAATATAATATCCTTTAGATTAAACCATGTTGTCTCATTTTATAAATAAGACATATATGTATTATATGTATAAATCATCACATTTATACCTTAATTATATACACTTTGTCGTCAATTATACCACATGAAATAGAAAACTAGTAAAAATTCCTTTAGTTTATTCTCATGTAGTCACATTTTCTGGGATCACAAACATGTCTACTTTTCTGTGAACAATACTGCCAGTATTTTCCCATACAGTAAGTAGGGAAGAACCATGATCCTTCAACATATAAAAGTCTGGAAGATTCCAACAAGTACTTTGACCATGTAAAGTATTTCTGAAGGTCAAGTGAGCTCTAAATAGCTCATTGGTTACATGAGGATTAATTAATCAACATAATTATCAGCACTGGTTTAGAAGGCAAACATATTTGACAAACTGATGGTGCAGAACATGAAATCTATCTTACTTATCTGTCTGGATATTCTGGAAACAGTATCATAAAGAAAAATATCAAGCACTCAATAGCCTCCCGTGGTTGGACTTATGTAAACAGATATGCTAGTTAGAAGACCATGTCAACATGCTGTTCCTTGAAATGTGAGAATCAGTTTTGTAATGAGATAAACTTTACTGAGAGCAGATTGTCCCACTCCCAAATTCTTATTGTATCTAAATGCTACAGACAACTTTCAACTTCAGGCACAGTCACTGATGAATGAGTATCAAAGGAAGCACAGTCCTTTCAAATTGGTCTTGTTAATGGTTAAAAGGAAGCATGCTAGCTAGAATTTGAATGAGAAACCACTGAGTTAAACAGGAGACATGAAGAACTATAGTAGAGAGGGGACAAGTTCCATGAAGAGGTGCCAGACTAAAACACAAAGTTATAATTTAAGGTTTCAGGACAAGATTAATTCTCCAAAGCTTAATATGAATAGATGGAGTTCAATTACATTTTTGAATGTCAAGCTCATAGGAAATAGGAAACAATGGAGAAATGGTCACAAACCACAGGACAGAAGAAGAACAATTCAAATGCATGTACCATGCTACCTACTAGATTGGACACGGAAATAGAAAGATCACATTAATGGGAAAAGGCAGTGAAATCAGAGTGTATATAATGGTATTTGAATACTGGCTTCTTGGGTCTGATACGTCTATAATGGTAACATAAGATATTAACTGTGTGCGGGAGGAATACAGCCCAGTAAGTAGTATTGTACTTAAATAGCATGCACAAGGCCTTATATTTCATTACCCTCACTGTTGAAAATCAAACTGTAAAGTTAGACATATAGCTCCATAGTAGAGCTACTGCCTACCATGTCCAAATCCCCGAGTTAATCTCTGGCACCTCACAAAACAATAAGAAAGAAAGAAGCCTGGGTAAGAAATAAAACAAGAGTTCCTTGTTTTGCTTTTGGAATTTTCTAAATCTAAAATTATTTTAAAAGGGAATTTAATTAAAAGTAATCACAAAACTAGGCATTGTGGCATATGCTTATAAATCCCAGTGTTTGAGAGGCTGAGGCAGGAGGATGTTGTGTTTGAGGCCATAGTGAAACTTTACCTCAAAACCAACAACAAAGCAACAAACAACAAAATTACTAAATAAGAGAAATTTGTTCGAAATAATATCTTACAAGTCAAAGGTTTCATTGTAATAATTGTTCGTCTCAATTTACAAAGTTCCTTTCTTTTAATGTACTTTTAGAAATCCAAACTCTCTTAAATCAAGCCTAGCCATGGCCTCAAAGGATGAACACATGTTGGACTTTTTTTTTTAAGTTTTTTCAAGACAGGGTTTCTCTGTGGCTTTGGAGGCTGTCCTGGAACTAACTCTTGTAGATTAGGCTGGTCTTGAATTTACAGAGATTTGCCTGCCCCTGCTTCCCGAGTTCTGGGATTAAAGGCGTGCGCCACCAAAATAAACTAACTAAAAAGGGGGAAAAAGAATTAAAAAAAGAAGAAATCCAAACCCTGTATAAATGTGACCAAATTTTTTAATCCAACACACCTGACTGCTTCCTTCATATGAACAGCTCTGAACTGATAATTAGCACACACGCATTGTCCTAAATCTTGTAGTACTCAACTTCCCAAAGACCTTGCAGAGGTATTCCAATGTAAGCATATATACTTTGACAACAGACATGGAGCTGGAGGGCAGCAGCAGCCAGCATTAGGAAAACAGTCACAGGGCAAGCAGAATAGCCCGCATGCACTAGCAGTTCTCAAAGACTCTGCCATGACTTACAAGGGATGACATCTGAGCATTCTGGAGCATAAGCTGCATCTGCTGGGCGAACATGGCTGCGGCAGTCTTCCGTTGAATCAGATGGTTCTTCCCATTAATTTCCAGCTGCGATTTTAAGTGGGGTGGGGGGTGTAGGTACTTGCAGTTCTCTCGAGTGCACCGACCCTTATAGCAAAAATTTAGACAAACTTCTGTTTAGTATTTCTAAAATTTTGAAATGGCAAAAGAAATAATAGATTAGGAGCCAATAGTCACAAGCATTATCCATGAAGTCACTCCTTTACTTTTCCTACCAGCTCTGTAAAATTGATACTCTTAAATCTTCATCTCCCAGCTAAAGAAACAGACTAGAAGAAATGAAGTGACTTGCCTAAGGGCACATAGACGCTAAAAAATGAACTGGAATGAAAAGCTAATTGGTCTGATTCCAGAACTCCCTTAGTTGCTCTGGTTTGCTTCACTTTGATATGCATCATATTGTATTTATAACAAAAAGTATTAGGAAAGTTATGTCATAAAATGTAAGTAGAAATTAAAATGTTAAATAAAAATCTTTCAACAAGAGATATAAAATCATTTGATTAAGACTTGGGATCTGGATCCATATGTACAACCAATTAAGAAAATTCAGGGAGGATATTTAAGAATCATACACAAGTATATAAATTCTGAACTCTATTTCCTGGACCATGCTAGGCTCCAAAGCTTTTTATTTCCTCGAAGTCATATGATGTGAAAAATATCCTTGAATCCAAGGAGGTTTTGATAATCTCAGAATAAATCTGTATGCCTGGCAGTCACATTAGTATTCATGTTCTAGCAGCAATGTCCTTAGGTCATTTAGATACTTGGAACTAAACTATATCTTGGATTCTCATAATTCTTTTCATTCATAGCACTTTCAAGATAGGATAATATTTTAATTTCATTGAACCATGCATAGTGGCTCATGTCTGTAAACCCAGCATTGTGGAGACAGAGGCAGCAGGACTGCCATGAATTCAAGGCTAACTTAGGCTACAGAGTGGGACCCATTTTTTTAAATCAAATGCAAAACCTCCACATGCCTTTTGATGTCACCTAAATGCTGACTCAGCCGCCGATTATGTGGTAGCAAAGAGTGTTACTGGACAAGTTGTTTATTACAATGTCTTAATATGACCTACCACTGTATTTAACTATGACCCTTACATGAAGCAACTAACAGCTATCCTGTTTGGATTACTAAATCTACCATAAGCCTTTAAGATAAGCACAACTGCAAGTAAAACATTTTCCCACAGATGTTGGTTCTTTACAGTGTATGAAATTATTTGAGGAGGAAGATGAAGGGAGAAAAAATGCAACCTTTTCATTTTGGACTCAAGAATGCAAGTTGCTAGGCTACCTGAATTCCCAGGAGAAAAAATTGATTAGTTCAAGAGTTTTCATTCAATAGATCCTATGCATTTTACTTATTTGCAATACCCAAATGGTATAAGCAATCACTTAAACATATTTCACTATCTTTCTATGAAGGCTATTCTACAATTTTATTGAGAAACATAGTGTGTACTTCAAAATGTTTACCAAGCTACATATAATGCAAATCTGAATGCATTGTAGCTGCTCTTTTCTTGAAAAATCCTCATTAATTCCAAGATGTACTTGCATGGCAATTGCATATATTCATGAGTTACAGTATAACTTAAAACCTATTGTGAAAAATTGAAAGTAAACTTACTTGCTCTCTGTCATTGGCTTTTTTGTTTCTTCCATTGGTAAATTTATTTTTAATCATATTAAAATAATTTATAAAATCTAATAATATCCTGACTTCAAATATATCTTTACATTTTATTGTTAAATCCTGGAAAATGAAGAAATTATACACACTAAGAGTTGGAAATGTTATTAATCTGATTCTCTTGAATTCATCTAATTAGCTTAGGAAAAGCTATACAATTCCAACACATATAAGAACTATAAGGAAATTGTCATCCACACTAAAATAACAATCTCAGGGGTCTTTTCCCAAGAAAGCCATAAACATCATTTTACATCTACTGTACCTCTCCCTTGAAGGCTATGACAGTCCCCGGGATTACAATGCCTAGACCCTTCACCTTCCAGCAACATAACTAAGGTATGACTCAAAAATCCAAAGCCTAGAAGATGTATAGCACTTAGTGACTTCCTTCATGGCATGGCAGTTTAAGCTTCCACTTCGGCCTTCCTGCTACTACTTCCAGACCCCGACATCAAAGATTTCTCCAAGGCGCAGGCCTAAGTCCTGCTCTCTTCTCTCATATCTTTTCCCCAAAGAAATGGAATTGTTCCAAAGTTGCAGGCAGCTCTGTAATTGTCCAGATCTTCAATCTCGATCTATCTCTGACCTCTCTTCTGAATTTCAGTTCTTTTCATCTGCAGCTGCAGCTGCATTTGGGGCTCTTGCCCTCTAACCAGGTGGAAATACCTTACTCCTGACCTTTGCCTATCTTTCATCTTGCTGCATACTCACATTCAGGGACATTGCATCAATCCCTAAGGTTTGGGGCAGTTATATAGCAGCAGTGAGGAAAAGAAAGCAGGCAGCTGTTGAGCAGGCTTGCCTTGGGTTGCAAAGCCTAGATAGCTTAAGACAATTAGCATGATGTAATTATGGAATATGATTTGTAACCCCCCTGAAAAAGAGAAAAAAAAACATATGAATACATTTAGAATTCCAAATAACAGAATGTCTTTTAAAAGGGAGAGAAAGGGGGCTAATTGGGATTTTAGGATTTGCTAAAAATTACAGAATTTTAACAACACTTCCATTTACTGTAATAAAAGAAAGAGAAAAAAACAAAGGAAGAAGGAAGTACAGTGTATCTGGCACATTTTCTGTCAACCAAGAGAGAAAATTTGAACATGCCTTTATTATTTTATATTACTGCCCATTACAATAGTAGCTTTCCTTAAGCTTCTTTTCTCAGAAACTAATGAGAATTTTACAAAGCAAAAACAGTACACAGAAATCAAGAGAAAAAAGAAAATCACAGTGTAAAAATTACATCAAGTTGGGCTATAAAACCAAAGCACTGGACATGAGACACCACGAAGTTAAAAAACAAACAAACATATTCATCTTAGTTATGAGATTTTACTTGATTTATAAAGCATTCTTTTTGAATGACAGACTCCATAATTTAATTCTATAACAATGCAAATGCATAGCAATACCACCTTACCAGAGACTGCTGCTTGTTTAAAGAAATCTTACAAAATAAAAAAATCTATATTTTCTATCCAAACAATAGATGAGGAGATCATGTAATTTAATATCTACGCATTTGTGGAACACACTGGTACAAAAGAAAATCAAGCCCTCTTGTATTTTTTAGAACTCACTTTAGGACTTGGGGTAATATGTTTATATGCAGAACATTTGTTGATAACAAACCTCTGGATAAGATTCATTCTTCAAGAACCCCAAATTCAGTAACATGCTTAAATATTTTAATTGTCATGATGGAGGAATATGTGTAGTTTCTGAAATTCGGTAACCCTTGTTTTTCATTCTTAGGATGTAGATAGGGACTGTCCCAAAAGACTGCTGCTGTCCTTTGGAAAACAATGAGTATAGACTAGAAAGGTTCGCATAATGTCCCTGGGACCACTAAACAGTCTGAATGGGCCACAAGACAAGCTTTCACAATGGATCCATAATAACCCAGTACCAGTCTTGGCTCTGAAAAATAACCGCCATATTTCACAGTCAAGTCAATAGTGTTCCAAGCCCTCTGTATTCTTATCTAGACCCAGAGGGTCAGAGTTGCCATGTTAAGTATTAGACCATGTCATGAAGGACTTCATACATATTAGGAGAAAACATCCTTTGGCCTAAGAGACTTTATCTTAAAAACAGCAGCTAAGGCTGGCCAAGACATTGGAGTCAATCTTCCTCACCCCTTAACCATACAGTGACTTATTTTAAACAAGGGAACTAGAGAGTGAGCTCATTTATGCTTGCCTCAGTTTCCCTCTTTCCCACTTTCTTTTGACCGTATAAACGTCTTTCTCACCTGTTCATCATTACTTTATTAAGTTAAGCAACTGACACAATGATTCAAGAGGGAGAGTAGTTATCTGCTGAAATAATTGCCCCCACACTGTTGAATCTTCAGCTCCCTCGTTCTCCCCTCCTAATGTCTTGGAAAATGCAACCAAAAAGCAGCAGGGCGAGGGAATGACTGATGCCATCTGTGAACCACAGCGGTATCAAAAAGTTGATAACAGATAAATGAGAAACTTGCAGTGCATTCATAAAACCTCCCAAATTCAGTCTATTGCCTCTGCTGTAACTTCAGGCTTTTCACAGGTGAACGGAAAGACGTTAACCAAGAAAGAAAAGCAGCATTGTAATGGTTCAAACCTTACCTAAGTCCTGAGAGTTATGAGTCTGTCAGCTAAGAGTACTATGTTTGGTAGGAAAAACCATGAAAAGCACCCTTTATTTTCATGAGAAAGTCCTTCCATCTATAAGAAAAGGACCCCTGAAAACTACCCCATCAGTTACTGTATTTTTAACAAAAAAGCTGTCTGCAGAATAACTTGCTTCTTCATATACATTTGGATTTATGGGGGGATGAAAATAATCTCTCTAAAATACAATTATACCTGAATTATCCCTTCAAAGACATAATCTTATTGGCCTGCCAATCACAGCAACTAAAAATTAAATGTTAGACACACCACATATATGATCTGTTCAAGAAGAAAAACAGTTGTTGCGTTTTAATGATCATGTGGTAAAGGAAGGAAAAAAATCCTGATCTGTGATGTCCCACTGTAACATCTGTATGCTTACAGACGTGGCTTCTCAGAGGATGCAGTCGTGAATATAGAATTTGCACTTCCCAGGCACTAGGATGTCTGCTTTCTGCAACCATCACAGACCTATTGAAATCTAGGATATATCTGAAAGGGCAAAAGGAGAGTCAACATCAACTCCAATTGAGTGTTAGCCATTTATCAGCAGTTACTAGCAAATCCCTACTTTCTTTCTCTAGGGAGTTCAGTCTTTCTGATAATATGGATACTCTGCTCAATTTTGTCTTCCAAATAGTTTATCACCAGTCAGTATTGGTGTATCCTTAACATGCTGAATACCACCTTTATTATAAATATGAGATGCTAGTAAG